AGACGGAGTCTCGCTCTGTCACCCAGGCTGGAGTGCAGTGGCCGGATCTCAGCTCACTGCAAGCTCCGCCTCCTGGGTTTACGCCATTCTCCTGCCTCAGTCTCCCGAGACGGGGTTTCACTGTGTTAGCCAGGATGGTCTCGATCTCCTGACCTCCTGATCCGCCCGTCTCGGCCTCCCAAAGTGCTGGGATTACAAGATTTCATGATTGACGCTGGTGCCACCACGGCCCCACACCTAACCTCAGTGCCCACTGTTTCCTGATCAGCAGGTGAAAGTCCCAGGCAGCGGGAGGGAGAGGCAGTCTTGGCTGCGGCCTTTCACCCTGGAGCTGTGTCCAGCGGGGAGCCTGCCCTTGAATCCCAGGGGTCAGCACCGTAATCCCCCAGGCAAGAAGAAACTCAGGGGCAGCTGATCTCCCCACAGAAGTGAGTGGCGGGCCTTCTTGTCACCTCCAGACAAGAGGGTACCTTCCTCAGTCACCCTTGCTGAGAGGTCTGGGGCATCTGTTTAGAAGCAGGAGGGGAGTGCCTTGTTCACGTTCAGGAATTCTGGAGAGTTTGCACGTACTGGCAGATCACCCCATGGCCAGGTGGAAGATAGGGAAGCCAATGGTTGGTTACACAGGCAAAGTGGGCTCCGAGCAGCTCTGGTGGAGTTCCCTGCATCACTGCCCTCAGGAGCCCAACCTCCCTCCCCATCCTCACACCTGGAGAGAGTTCTGCAAACTCAACAGAAACCCCGCCTCTCTGGGCAGAGGGAGAAAATCTTAAGAACTGCATGATCGGAACCTCACCTCCAGAGCTGGGAAGACAACAGTCCTTTAAAATAGTGGTTTCTAAGGAACACACTGTTGAAAGATAATGCTACCAAAAAAAAAAAAAAAAAAAAAAAAAAAAAAAATCCATGCCCAAATTAGCCTAACTGCATATTCTATTTTGCTAGTAGAGTTTCATCATACACATTATTATACTAAAGGCTCTGAAAAATCCTACAGGAAAGAAACCTGTTTAACTTTGTTTCAGTTGTTCCCAGACTTGCTCCAACTCCCTTTTCTTCAAGTAATATCTATTCAAGTTATACCAATATTCCACAAAACACACTTTAAGGAACACTATTCTAAAGAAATTGCAGAGTAGCCTGTTCTACACTCTCCTCTCTAAGTTTTTCTGTCAAGTTCTACCAGCCATCTTTTCAACCACGCTGCCAACTGAAAGCAGGTTTTTTGTTTTTTTTTTTTTTTTTTTTTGAGACAGAGTTTCGCTTTTGTTGCCCAGGCTGGAGTGCAATGGCACGATCTCGGCTCACCGCAACCTCTGCCTCCCAGGTTCAAGCGATTCTCCTGCCTCAGCCTCCCGAGTAGCTGGGATTACTGGCATGAACCAGCATGCCCAGCTAATTTTGTATTTTTAGTAGAGACGGGGTTTCTCCATGTTGGTCAGGCTGGTCTCGAACTCCGGACCTCAGGTAATCCACCTGCCTCAGCCTCCAAAAGTGCTGGGACTACAGACATGCCTGGCCTTTTAAAATTATTATTATTTTTTATTATTATATATTTATTTATTTTTGAGACAGGGTTTCACTCCCATCACCCAGGCCAGAGTACCATGGCACAATCTCAGCTCAATGCAACCTCCACCTCCCAGGCTCAAGTGATTATCCTGCCTTGGCCTCCTGAGTAGCTGGGACTACTGACATGCACCACAAGGCCCAGCTAATTTTTTTGTTTTGTTTTTGCAGAGATGGGGTTTTGTCATGTTGCCCAGACTGGTCTCCAACTCCTGAGCTCAAGAGATCTGCGTGCCTCAGCATCCCACAGTGCTAAGGTTACTGGCATGAGCCACCACTCCTGGCTGAAAGGGGTTTCTGAAATCACCTGAGATGTAGATAGTTGTGTTTTCAGGAGCCGACCACCTCTCTCTGTGCATGACCCAAATGCTACCCAACCCATAAAGACACGCCATAATCCCTGTGGAAATATGAGAGATGGATGATAGGGTGAGGGGTAGGGGAAGGTTTCCTTTACCCCAAAATAGAACTCTGATATCAGGGCTCTGGCAACGGCTCAGACTGACTTCTGCCCCCTACCCTCCCCCCACCCCACCGCCGGCCCATCAGGAAAGACCTTTCAAGTTCAGGGATCCTGCTCATGGGAGTTGGTGGCCAGAGCTCAACTTCCTCGATCCAGGATCCCCTCTCCTGCCTTGCATGGGGCCCCATGAGGGCAATGACCACCACACTGCAACCTGCTCAATTCATTGCTGATGAGTCATTGATTATCTCAGCATGCTTTTCTCCAGCCCTGACTCTGTCCCAGGCACTGTTTTACAAGGACACACCTGCGGCTAACAAAGACCGAGTTCTTTACTTCGGGGAGTTTACATTCCACTAGAAACAACTGAGACTGGTCCAGGTGCGGTGGCTCACAGCTATAATCCTAACACTTTGGTTGTCTGAAGTGGAAGGATCACTGAGCCCGGGATTTTAAGACCAGTCTGGGAAACATAGTGAGACCCGCCCCCCACCACCCCGCAATATCAACTATTTTAAAATATATATACATGAGAAAAAAGAAAAAAATTGAGACTGAAAGAGTGCTCGTAGCATCCCTGTAATGACTATAACTATGATCTCATCCTTAGCACAGAAATCTCAAACTTCATCATTCAGAGCTGCAGAGCAGGAAGCTTTCAGCTCCACTGCGAGGTTCAGTTTAAATTCCATTTTCAGACCTGTTTTGAGCCATATATTGTTTTTTTAAAAATTATGTGCCAACATTTAAAAGTTAGAAGGTTAAACATTAAAAAATCAGATTCCTGGCTTCTCCTGAAAAATCAATCAGGCAACTTGGGACCTATATATTCCCACTCGGCCATGATTGAGTGTAGTTGAATTAACTGCTGCCCGCTAAGGCACGTTCTCCATGTCATCAGGACATTTGCAGCCCCTGTGATCTCCCCAGCACTGAGGCTGAGGGTTCATTGCCCATTTACTATTGGCTGTCACTATTTGGGTGACTGGTGGCTTAGTTATGCTTCACCCATGCCCTTTTTTTTTACTCCCTCTCACTGCAATATCTAAGTGGTTATTTTTAAGAAGGGAAATACTCATCTCTACTAATTACTCCATAAAGAGTAAGAAGGGCTGGGCGCAGTGGCTCCCGCCTGTAATCCCAGCCCTTAGGGAGGCTGAGGCGGCTAGATCATGAGGTCAGGAGTTCGAGACCAGTCTGGCCAACATGGTGAAACCCCATCTCTACTAAAAATACAAAAATTAGCTGGGCATGGAGGCACATGCCTGTAATCCCAGCTACTTGGGAAGCTGAGGCAGGAGAATCGCTTGAATCTGGGAGGCGGAAGTTGCAGTGAGCCAAGATCGCACCGTTGCACTCCGGCCTGGGCGACGGGGCAAGACCCCATCTCAAAAAAAAAAAAGAGTAAGAAAACAAGATAGTCCAAGAGGGAGAGCCCTGCCTTTGGTACAAAATATTGGAGAGAAGATATTTGTTTGTGGGCATAAAGATACTCCTACCTTTCACTGCAAAGTGTACCTGTGTCTTGTATCCAGATATCTTCACTCACACATTTTCTGCCTACCTTGCCTCCCCAGGCAACAGTGAGGCTCGGGGCATAAACATCATCAGGGTTGCTTGTTATAGATACAATGTAGGTTCCACAACCGGTGTTTTGCCTCAGATAGCTAGGCAAGACGCTCAGACGTGGAGGAACATTGCTCTCAGAAAATAGTTTTCAATTGTTGGCTGGGCATGGTGGCTCAGGCCAGCACTTTGGGAGGCTGAGGCAGGCAGATCACTTGAGGTCAGGAGTTTGAGACCAGCCTGGCCAACACGGTAAAACCCTGTCTCTACTAAAAATGCAAAAATTACTCAGATGTGGTGGCACGCACCTGTAGTCCCAGCTACTCAGGAGGCTGGGGCATGAGAATCATTGAACCTGGGAGGCGGAGGTTGCAGTGAGCCAAAATAGCACCACTGCACTCCAGTCTGGGCAACAGAGTGAGACTCTGTCTCAAAAATAAAATTTTTTTAAAGAAGAAAATAATTTTCAATTGTCGTTTCAAGCTCCTTGCTTTATAGCTGCTCCTTTAACTTCCTTTAGCCAGATAGGCTACCACCCTCAAGCCAGTGATTCATTCAATACTAATTCCCAGGTGCCCACTATGTGCCTGGTATCCTACGAGGGACAAAGGATGATGAACTTTGCAGAGCATCACAGACCAAGGGACCGAGCACCAAGGACTGACAGAATGGCGGTCACCTCACACACTGCATTTCCACTTTGGCACCTTATTTCCATCCCACAGAGGAGGCAGATTTTATTATACCACTTTCTAGTGTATCTTATACTTTCTATTTCTCAGCCTGTCTCTGGGCCAATCTCATTTAGCCCCTTTGCAAATTAAATGCATCTCATTAAATCGAACCCATTTAGGACAATGCCCTTCAGGTGTGTGCATCTTAGTA